GGAACAAACCCTAATCATAAGCCGAATTCAGAAACTTCAGCAAATCCTCACGATTCGCGTCCCTCTCATGATCGCCTTTATCCTTCTTAACCTTCAACTTGATCTGCAACTGCCCCGTCAGCACTTCCTCTATCGTGCCGAAAACATAAAACATACCTTCTTTCCGGTGAGCACGCTCCTCCTCTCCTCCTTCTCCTTCCTTTCCTTCTCCTTACGCCTCTTACGAGGCTCACGAGAATCCGACCGATCCCTTCTCTTATCTCTCTCCTTCCCCTTGTCTTTCTCCCTCTCCCTCTCCTTATCCTTGTCCCGACGCTCCGACCGACTGGAATGAGAGTACTTGCGGTCCCTGCTCCTACTCCTACTCCGGGAGTGTCTGTGTCGTTTAGCACGTTGACGAATATCTTCAGTAGTTTCATCTGATGAAGATGAGCGGGACAAGGCCGACGACGAGGACCGGGAGCGCTTTGCAGTCGAACGTCCGCGTTGGGGAGAACGTGAACGCGAACGCGAACGAGAGCGCGCACGGTGCTGTGTGTGCGTGTGTCAATGTGTATTTTGGCCCAGCAAATTTACGTCTTCGAAGGTCAGAGTCGGATTTTAGGATGAAAAAGGAGACGTACATGGTCATGCCCGCGATCACGACTGCGGCTTAGGCTACGCCTGTGTTTGGCGTCGCTACGGCGCCGACGCTCATAGTCCTTGGAAATTTGTTAACGTTTAGCGGATTGAAGGAAGATGAGGATGCACACGTACTCTATGATGGCTGTCCTCGTCACCAGAGCGATGTCGACGTTCCTTGTGGGAGTGCCTGTCACTTTTTTCGTGTTCTAGCTCCTCTCGAGGGGTATAAAGGGTCTCCTCAGAACCAAAAACATGCTGTTCATTCTTGCTATTTCTTTGGTTCGACTGGTGACGATCATCGTGGTAATGAACTTTGTATCGATCGGGCGACCTCGACCTTCCTAGATGCCCAAATCGGCGGAAGTATCACAGAAGAGGTGAAGATCCCATGCATGCACACATTATCCATGGTATTCAAGATGTGAGTATGCGCAGGGTGAGAATAAATTGAACGAAGAGACGGAGTGTGAGCATGGATGAAGCATGACTCAGGAATTTTGTATGCCTCTCACCACGAGCATGGTGGTCTCTATTGGACCTTGAACTAGGATGATAGTCCCTTTCTGGGGAGTTATAGCGGTCCCTTGCCATTGCCAACAGCCGACGGTAGTGGTACTGGTGAGAGTTGGAGACGCCAGTGATGGCGTGACAGCCTGCTGACAGATCATTTGTTTCGACGACAAAGCGCATCAAAAAAGGGCACACGACCACTATTGAGTAGTACTCAATTGCAAGTATATGAAATTGAATGTCATTGTTACTTGATAGGGATGTGTATGCAATCTAAATGTATAGTCCATGTCGGGAACACTCGGAGAAAATGCGAAGAGTATGCTGATACAAGTTATGGATGATTGTGATGTATATGTGCAAGTGAAGGATCCTATGTGTATACAAAAAAGACCGATGCATGAAATCGTAAAAGAGAGATGGTCGTGGCCCTGATAGTGCAAGGCATTCTAGATCGTGTTACTGTCGAACTCATAAGTTGATGTCGACGATGTGAAACCCGGAGACTCACCAAGTGTTATTGGCATTTTTGGGGTGGTAATTGAGAACATACTCGAATTGGGGACCAGTCTCGGGGCTGTGCGGATAACGCTTGCATTTCTCCACTGTCCGCCACTCCCGGGCAATTATTTTCAGCGCTTCCTCTCCATTCTCGGCATGGCCACTGTCGACCAACCAGCAGCCAATTACCATTCCTGTACGCCCAATACCTCCTCTGCAGTGGACTGCGCTGACGCGACCACGGGCTTCGTTGTCGCGCAGTACGTCTAGCACATCATACATGAGTTCGAGCGACCCTGGCAAGCATCGGTCACGAATAGGAAAGCGGTGGTACTCGATGGTGTCGGTATCGATCCCGAGCAGAGCCGCACGAACACAAAGGATGTTCGCATACGATATGAGCTCGCCTGCTTCAGTGAGATCAATGAAGGTGCGCACGCCTGCTCGTAAGAGTGCGTCTAGCTTTGGTTTGTTTGGGTTTTTGGGTGTCCATGGATATTCGCAGGCAAGCAACTGTGCAGTGGCCCAATAAGAATTAGGAATAGGGCGTGGACGATGTGCTGTTATTGGGCGCTGAGAAAGTGCGTTGATTCGTCGTTGTATCATGAGGGGTAACATGTCTTTTGAAGGAGACGAGGACGAAGCCGTCGAAGTGCTTGAAATCAGAGTTTGCGAAGGTCTGGAAACCTCCATGAAGTCGATATTATGACAGTGAGTGTGCAATTGTTGAAGGAACGTCAATTGAAAGAATGGTCACTTTTATAACTAAGAGATCAATGGTCGGTATGATCGGGGCTGGACAAAAGGATCAGGGTGGCTGTGGCACTCATGGTTACGGAATGTGAAACTGGCCTTTTTCGCATGCCCATCGCAAGGCAACCTTCTTTGAGACAGACTCAATATCGATGTCTCATGGAGCTTCTACACACATCAGCTGAGCATTAAAATCCAATTGACTTTTTCTTTAATCCATTCGGTGGAGCTCAAGTCCGTCAGGCGCTTGGGCCGGCACCACCCGATCACATATTTATTTCAATTTTACGACTGGAACGCTCTAGACTCCATGTACTAGGTTGGCCTACAAGAGTAGCCCACTTATCGATCTAGCCGAACGAGCGTAGGGAACCTCTTGTAGTGCACGTGCGTTGAAGGACAACGTTTCCAAGTGGAACAGGAAGCAAAGCTCGTGTGAGCTTCCCTATTTTAAGTTGAATCCTTCGTAGTTTCCTCGTTAGGTTACGTTTCCAATCCTCGAGCCTTCAAATGATAGTATGTACCTATGCATCGACTGCTGAAATTGGGCTCCATTGCAATGGTTCGCAAGTCCCTTGGTACGAAGACCCTAAGAACGGCCCAATAAATTGCGCATTCAAGATCCGTGGAATTTTGCCGAATCGGCTTCACCTCCGCTAGTTAGCTTTTGCCATTCGTGCGTGGTTTTCGCTGTTCTTCTCGTTCAACATATTTATCACAAATCAATACAATCAAGATATATATCACTTGGTACCACTCTGCACCATCGGTTCTTGTTTGACTTGAGCCGCTACATTGATTATTCATCGTTTGTCGACGATCTCTCTTCAGAGACCACATCCTACGGTAACTCTCGAACGGATAAAAGATTACTACCAGTGTCTCGTATTCTTGGAAACTCATCAGCACATGGGCACCTCGTGTGGCTCCGTTTATAATAAGAACTTCGAACATCCCGGATCGATCCTGCAGACATACGTCCGTAACATAGGGCGATCAGCTCCTCCCAATCTCAGGCTCTTTATTTTATATCCTGATATCCCGAGCCGACTAGAGTATGTCTTACGCCTCTGATATCGAGATTGATCTTTTGAGGGAGTATGGTGGAAAATTTTAACTCGAACGGCGATGACAGCGGCATTCATGCGAAGCTCGACTATCTGAAAGATCTCGGCGCAAATGTTCTATGGTCTTCTTCTGTCTGTCGTCGCCCTTTGCAGGTATATTGGTACTTTGTGAGTATATACTGGAATTACCTTCCGCGTTATACTGAATGCATCGATTCTTATCATGATGCCTATCCCAGATAAGTATGGAATGTTTCTGGAAATCCAATCCATGAGTGTTAGCTTGCAACAGGATGCTGGAACATTTGCTATGTCAATAATTATCCCTTGAAGAAGGATTGACAAACCAATTGGACCAAGGGTTTGTGAGTTCCTCAAGGAGATGATGTAGAAGGTCTTATCAGGTCAGTTTTGTGTACGTACCATTCATATTCGAACATACACTTTTTAGATCAGGGCACGACTTGACCACCAACGGCGAAATGTCATTCATCCTTTATACCTCTTGTTCACTCAGACCCAGTAGCGAGTACAGATCTTCCGATATGAGTCGATGACCCTTGATATAGGCAAGTACAAGACCTTCAGCCATAGAGACTGGAAGCTCTCCAGATTTCGCGAAACGTTGCAGACTATTGAACGTATCAGAAGCTTTGGGAACGCGTAATGCATTTGTTGTGAAAATTTGTTGGTTACATCGAGAACCATGATGATGGCCGATCTGTCTCTGGACTCGGTAATCACCCAGAAGCATGGCGCCCTCTTTTCCAAATCGCTGGTGAAGCTGCAGATCTCTCTCGCTCGAAGGCATACGTATGTCAAGGCAGGGGCTTGGTCTAAAAATTAACCGAGGGTGTTCGGTGTTGAAGAATACAAAGACGCGGTCAATCAGGACGATTGTTGTAACATTATACCCTCCTACAGAAGTTTTGTCTGGAACCTGACATGTCCAATGTGCTAGAATGAGTTCCGATGCAATGGCAGGGCTCCTAATCAGGTTCCCATGCAAGCATGTTTTCACATCAACGTTCGAGATTTTGCCTAGTCATTATTTTTTAGTGCGGCGCTACATTCCATGCCAGAGTCACCGCCGGAAATCCTTGGATGCCAGTCAACAATGATAACACGACGTACCGTGTAAGCCGTCAAGTACTCATCTGGAAAAAATCAAACAAACTTCGTCAATTCTACGACGTCGGTACGGTGCTGCTTGCAAGTTTGGTATCACGAACCCCCTCACGGATTTATTTCACGTCCCATTGTGCGCGATCTATGGATATTTTGATGATTTCCCCCCCCCCTGATCATGAACAAGTGCTGATTTATAGACGAATTCTGGGCAATACTAGTACTTCTGCTCAATTTCCAGGTGCTCGGTTCTAGTGGTAGTAGGAGTTGGAAGACCGCTGAGGATAATCTTGAAAATTTCTCCAATTTATCGCGGGACGAGGGCTCATCTTCGCTGGCAGAGCGGGGAGTTCAACTCACCGATGGCCCCAATAAGGTAAAGATTTATATATTGTCAAAACAATGCAATAACGTATAGGCGCTATAGTGTAGTGGTTATCACTCGGGATTTTGATGTTATATATAAATTTCCCGAAACCCAGGTTCGAACCCTGGTAGTGCCTCTCATAAGGCTCTTAAAGCTTACTTTTTGATGTATATGGAGGGCAAGACATTAGAATACGTGAATACAATCATCCATTCTGTGTTACACATGACACTTTTCCTGCACGTCCGCTGCTCTGGCCTCAAGTCATTTTCTCCAAAGCCACTTGAGAAAGTGATGAAAGCTTTTTGATTTTCCTTCAAGTGGAAATTTGAGCCATCGTGTACCTTAGGTAAAAGGCACCCGCCGCACGTCACAGTGATTGATAAAACATTGCCAAAAAAAGACGAGCTGCGAGGCCATGTGGGCTACAGTCAACGATCTGCGGTGAGGTGCGATAAACTCGCGCTAAATTGGAATATATCTGACTTTACGCGATGTAAGCAGCAAGTCCAATAGCCGTGAAAGTCAATTCCGCCTTTGAGGTCTTTGCCCGATATACTCACGTGCTTGCAGTTACGCAGCTAAAGCTGATAAGATTTAGAGAATAGCTTTCAAATGTTTTACAGTCACGGCTTGTCCTGAGCTGGACCCTCTTCCGCCATCACTGTTGGCGAACCGCCGTTGCGGTCACTTAAAACGCATCACATTGATGCGAAATGTAAGTTTTGATGCCGTCAATTGATCGGATCAACGGATCAAACTTTACTCTCACAGAGTTTGGAGGCTTAGGTTACACGAAAGCTCACTTAGACGTTTACAGTCGTAGATAATAATTAAATTGATTTATTCGCTAGTTGAGACGGTCTCGAACTTTTGAATGGGCTCAAATAAATATATAAATAAAAACCCGAACCAACTAAATACTCGTAGGCCTAAGTTAGCCGCTCCCTGGGGCTAGCCGAGCCGTGGTACGTCGTTGCTTGCCCTTTTCCTCCGATCCTGCTCTCCTCTTTATAGCTCGTCGTACGCGCACGGACCAGGCTGTTTTCCGTGCGCTCCCGTGGGTGTACCGCGTGGTTTTCCTTGGCCTTTCTCCGTTATTGGCTGGCCGTTTGCGATGACGTGCTGTGTCGGCGTTATTCGGTTATCCGTTTGTCCGTCCTCTTTTTCTCATTCTTTTTCTTTTTCCACTCCTCTCTTAGCAGGCTCCGCGTAGTTTGTATGGTGGCTAGGTCTGGTCTCTGGACGGTCTGGCGTGCGGTGTCGAGGGGAGGCAGGGTTTTTGCTATGCATTCAGACGTCTATGGCTGTCCTCGGCATCGGTTAGCTGTTCTAGCCGGTTTTTGCCGAGCACAGCCATTGATCGTTGATCAAATGCGTGACCAGCTGTTCTCGACGTCATAGGTCCTGCTGGCGTCGTTTAATGCGTGCTTTCTTGGGTTCTTTGGTGCTATTCTTTTTATACTAGGTAAGGTTTTTATGTCTACAGTTTTCGACATTTACCCAAGCTTACGGTTTTCAGCTTGTTTTGAATGGTATTTCCTTATCTTTCTTTTTAAGTATATTCAACCTGTCTCGTACTCGAGACAGGCGTATCAACATATCCCTTAGGCAATTAGTATCCCCGCAGCATCTTCACTTCCGAGTACAGTGATATTTCCAGGACAAAACTGGTATAGGGCGACCGTCAACAACCAATCAACAACTCCCTCGATTGTGAGGCCTTTCTTACTATAACTTCTACCTCGATTACATACAGTAAATCTCAGAGATATCGTCAAAAAACCGCGAACATAAACAGATGATCTTGTCGAGTGTCCCCGGCTGTTGATATTTTGGGCTCTTCACACCTCAGATGAAAACTGAGTCGTTCTTCCCGCCCGGAAAATATTCGAGGTATTGTACGTACCTTGGACACTCTGCCTCACGTCAATCACCGGATAACGACATTTGACCATTCATTCGTTCACAACCTTAAGCCCTTAGCCACGCCATTTCCGCTACCGATCCCTCAGGCTGTTCCTGAAATTTGTCATATTTTTGATAAGACATCTGTCCGACGACTACGTGTTGTGTAGCCGTCACCACTATCCTAGCTTTCAAAAGCCCAGGGCAAAATTCTATGATGGTATGATGGTGAGTAATCTCATCCATATTTGAAAAATTTCAGATAAAGCACAAGTGGTATTTATGCATAGTGTATGAAAATATGAAGGTCAAGTATAGAGAATTGGTGAATTTTCGAGGATTGATATTGCGGGTCATACATACTTCGGCCTCGTCCTCAGTCTGTCATCATGTATGGACCCACACATCCATATGACTATCAGATTTCCACGGGTTGTAAGCTTACGTGCCAAATTCACAGGAGGAGATATGTCTATCTTTGACACAACAATGGAATAAATCAATTGCTGGTCTCAATCGTTTTCCATCAATAGGCACACATGCACCTACCATGAGGCCACAAAAGCCGCCTCGTGTCGCACCGATGCAGTATTATCGGGCCTGAACTTCCTCTTGTGGCATTCTCTCTTGTATTCTATACACAACATGAGAAATGTGTAATTTTTCCGCCTACGCTCCTTCCCATAGACTCGTTTGTGTATTATGGGTCACTGAAGGACACAAAGGTACTTGATGCAAAGGTGATCATTTTCAGTCCTCCCGATTATTGATCATTTTCAGTCCTCCCGATTATTGCGACTTCAGCAGATCCCTAAGACTTGCATATATATAGCGGTTGTCGATTCTTGGTCCTCGGATATTTCGCCGTGACTTTTCAGGTACGTCTAATACTAATGATTATGTTTCTTTCTTATCTAACCACCATCCGTAGCTGACAGACGCCGCAATGACGACCGTGGAGATTGTTAAAAGACTTGGTAGCGAAGACCTCCGTCCCACGACCAAGAGTATCCTATCGCTGTTTGCCAAAAACTTCAGCTACTTACCCACTCAAACTTCCCCTGTATCTCGTCTCCCCAACGAATTGCTCTCTTCAATTTTTTTATATGCGATACGATCTACAGATGATCGTTTCGAGACGGTCACGACACCCATAATTGCGTCCCAGGTCTCAACTCGTTGGAGAGATATTGCCATCTCTACAGCCAAACTCTGGAACACCATCATCCTCACGTATCCTACTTCCAAACAGCAGTTGTCCCGTGCGGTAACATGGTTGAAACGATCCAAATTAGCACCTCTCGACATTTTCCTTGACTTTCGCGACCCATCGTGGGATTGGGATTCGGCAGAATCTTCCCACAAATTTCGTTGGCAGGACATGGAGACAATCATTCGGCTGTTGATGGTACATGCCTGTCGATGGAAACATTTTGAACTTTTTACTGATACCTGGGCGCCCATATTTACGTTCCTTTGCTACACTCGACACATCAAGTCAGTTCCTCTTCTTGTGTCACTTTCACTTCATCGCTGCAATGCTTTCTTTGCTTCTAAGGAGGCTACCTTTGCTCCGGTGGAGATGAGAATGCCAATACAATTATTTGGTGGCCGCGTTCTTGAACGATTGCGCCAAGTAACCTTGACAGGAGTTCATATCGATTGGTCGACGCCATTGCTGTGCAATCTTACCAGGCTCGAATTCCGCTATTTAGCAAGCGATGTTGTACCATCGATCGTTGAATTCACAAGCATGCTAAGAGAGTGCCGAGATCTTCGTCATCTGACAATTCTTGGGCGAGGTCCACGGATCGATGACAATCCAGTCTCAAGTCCATCCTCTCTATTGGCTGTAAGTTCGGCATCAGGATGTTTCTCTGCTAATGTGTATGCGGCAATTGAGTTGCCACACGTCACAGACTTCGTATTCGGTTTCGTCGATAGCGACTATGCTTTGAAGCTTCTTGCCAAGTTCTCATTCCCTGCCCTAAGGAAACTCACCCTCGAGGGTCTTGTCGGTCTGGATCCCCTGTCACAATATGATCTCGACGCTGCACCACTTTTAGACTGGCTTTTATCGCACAATTCTCTATCCAAATCAACACGTACTCACGGGTTTCCATTATCCCGCATTCACTCCTTAAAATTCATCGCAATTAATGCCGATACATCTATCATTTCACAATTCTTTAATGACCTCCATGAACTGGACTTTTTGGGCCTATACAAGACCAGAATTGACACGCTTCAAGCTTTAAAAGTGCCAATGACCAATTTATCTACGAATATCCCTCCATGTGTCACCCTCACCAGGCTTGAATGTCATGATATAGATTTTCAAGTTCTCGTGGACTGTGTACTTGCTCGAGGACCACTCTCGCGCCTCAATTATGTACATCTTCAACCAGACGCAATTAGCGCTAACAACAGAGAAAGGCTTTTGGCTGCTGGCGTCCGTATCTTGTACGATTCCAAAATTCCAGACCATTAAAATACTCATCGACTAATGACTTTTGCATTCGCGGCGTCTATGAACGTTGCGTCTATCATTGGAATCCCAAGGTCGCTATTTCATTGTAATTCATGTTTCACCCTACTCTTCACCCTCGATGTATCCGTAGTTGTATCCATAGCCTTTATATGTTGGACTATACTACGTGCCAAGTTATTAACCATTTTCGGCATATCCCGGGAAGAAATCAGAAGCCCGTCAGAGCCCAGCGCGCGCTCCTTAAGCAAAGTTCAACTTTTCGCAGTGTGGTCGAGGGTCTTCCATGTCATTTTTAAAGTAAGTACTTTCAAGTTCGCTGACGTGCCTTACCTGTGTGAGTACCTCCCACTCAAGTTCCCTCTATCCATCGTGGCGTGCAATGGGAATGCAATACTTTGGTCACGTCCCAGGTACAAATCCTATCTAAAGAAAACTGCGGATATCCCACTGTAGCTTCTCATCTAGACCTCTCGCCTGATCTCATTTGCATCCAATAGAGCCATCATTACTGATGCGAAGTTCTGCAGGATCGAACAGGACACGTGTCAACGCTCGGTGCCATATATGTACAACTTCGAAATGGTCGATGTGCTACAATACAGGCTAAAAATGGCACCTATTCATATATGTGTCACTTGCACCGTCAGTTTGACTATCTAGGTGACAGGATGAGATTGATATTGGTACAAACGTCTGCGCGATATATCTTCGCCTGAACTACCTACCTTCCTTACTTG